ACTAAAGTACTGAATGAATCTTTTGCTTTTTTAGATTACTCTAAATCAAGAACCACACTACAAATAAAATGGTTTTCAAATTTAAGTGCTACTCACGCCTCAATTAGTGTCTGCACAGATAAGTAATACAATTTAATTTCTTTCACTTTTTAAACATACTAAAGTACTAAAACAAGTCTTATAATTTTTAGATTACTTTATCAAGAACCGCATTACCAATAAAAATGCCTTGCTAAAAGTATTACAGGTATTATACGAAATCTTAAAAGGTCATAAGCAAGAAGTTTGCAATCTAAAACTGTCTGGCTTATGACCATCGGAATTCTGTTAGTCGGGAACTCAAATAGACTTTTTTGCTTAAATTTGTTATTACTAATACAGAGCTTACTAATACTATTCTTACAAGTTCTTTTTCTCAAACCAAGATCAGACCAAGATCGTAGTATCAAACAAAAACTAGGATTTATGAAAAAATATAACGAGGACGATATCGATATAGCAACATATTTTGAAGAAACTTCTTGCTGCAGCGAGGATATAAGTAACATATATAGTAATGTGGAGACAGTATCTTTAAGGGATGGAGACTCTTTTAAAAATTTTGAAGTAGCTAAAGCTCACATATAGCGTTTTGCTGAGCATAAAGGGTTTAAGGTACGACTTGGGCATTTGAAAACAGTAAATATAGCAGAAAATGAAAAGGCAACTCAAAAATGGACTATTATTTGCAAGCACTCAGGTTTATTTAAACCAAAAGATAGCGCAAGACAAAGTACTTCGACCCGTATAATGTGTCCATAGCATATTAACCTTTCACGTCCTTTAAGAGATAATTCTGGTTTTCACGTAATTGTTATCACTTTTAATGATAATCATAACCATGATCTATCTTATAAAGCAATACAATTTGAAAAAAAAAACAGTTTACTGAAGAAATATGGCAAAAAGTTGAATTTTTGGTTACTAAGTGCCAGCTTGGCACAACCATGGTGTGATGTATCTTAAAGGAAAAATTTCCATCTCATTTCCTGTTTTCTAAAGATCTCTACGTTGAAATACAACAGTATCAACCATCAAATAATATAATTAAAAACAATGCATCATATTTTTATGACCAGTTGTTGTCAAAATAACGAAAGGATTCTCACTGGTTTATTGAAATTACATGGGAAGATGAAACTAATACATTAACAAATTTGGTTTGGATGAGTCTGAAACAAATTTTGTTATAGTATGAGTTTGGTGAGTCAATTGGTCATGATAACACAGTGGGTACCAATAGGTACAATATGCTACTTTCTTTGTTTGTAGCTCAGGACGATAATATGCAATTTTGTATCATCGCTTAGGTTTTTGTCAGTAATGAGACAGCTGAAACATACCAATGGGTCCTTCAAATAACAAAAAAAGCCACTAACAATAGATACCTCAATGTTTTTGTAACCGATAGTGATCTAGCAATAGAACGGGCAGTAGTACTAGAGTATCCAGGAACACAACATCTTTTTTGTATTTGGCATATTAAGGAAAATATAAAAAAGATATTGTGTAGTAAGTTAGGGGGTTCATTTGATGAGTTTTATAGTAAATTTTGGCAATGCAGAAATGCAGATACGTTACATGGTTTTGAGTACTATTGGGGGCAACTTATAAGTTTTCCTAATGCAAGGTTGTATCTTGAATGTTACCTTTATGAATATCGGTTTTCGTGAGCACGTGCTTTCACTATGATGGCATTTACACTAGGAATTCAATCTACGTCTTTCGTTGAAAGTCAAAATGCATACATCAAGAGAGTGTTAGAAAGCAGTAATACATCTTTGTGTGAGTTGGGTAAAGTACTGATGGAGCGAAGTATTAAGGAGCAAAAACAAAAACAATTTGAAGAATAGAAACGGGGTACCCCTTCTTCAACAAATGTTGTTACTATTTTTTCTACTATCGAATCTTTAGTAAAACACTATTTAAGACCAAACGTTTCTCATTTTTTAATAGAACAAATGAAGGAAAGTTTGTATTATATGGCCAGTCATTCTATAGTTGAAGAGGTCGAGTCACTTATCATTTGTGAATCATCACAAAGTAAAGACATGGATGGTGAACTTGATGTTGTTAATTTATCAGCCAAATGTCTTCTGGATTGCTTAGAACGAAATACAATTGAGGAGATTTGGAAATTGTCAAGGGTTATAAGCAGTAAAATTAATCATTTTGTATTTCTTCTTTCTAATGGCTCATATAGTTATACATGCCTTTTACAACAAAAAAAAGATCTTGTTTGTTGGCATTTTTACTATTTGCTAAATATTACAGAGAAGACACAGTTTAGTTTATGGCTAATTGCCAAGCACTGGATTCCAAGAGACCAACGATTAGGTGTTGCAAAGGAGGATATATACTTTGGTCAAAGGTTTGGTAATGCCATTACCAATATAGATACTGCACCAAAGAACATTGAAGGTCGATTTGTGTAGTTATAGCCATTTAGCAATAATGAAACAGGTGAAACCACAAACAAAGAGTATATTAATGAAATACTTTTTTATGTGAAAGTTTGGGGCCTTGCACATACTACTATAAACAAATGCATGTTACATCGTAACCATGAATTTGTTTGTTTAATCAAAGAGTATTTGAGCAGGATTCATATTAGAGAAGATGAATTGATCGGAGAACAAGAAACCTTGATGCATACTTCATTTAACAGACATACTATTGAAGACATACCGCTTGCGAATCCCCGAAAGATTACTGTTAAAGGAAGACCAAAAGCAGTAAGTCACAAGAATGCTACAAAAATTACATCACAAGATATAGGAAATAAAAAGAAACGTAGACAATACACTTGTGGAATTTGTAAAGAGCCAGGCCACAATGTAGCAACTTGTCCAAATAAAGTAGAGGAGTAAGTATATAGGGTTGGTGAGAATTGATTATTGTAACATTATACTAGTGATTATTTGTACGTATGTGTGTTTATATGTATCATTTGATTGCTTTGTTGTTTGCATGTTTCACTTAATTATTTGTGTGTACATATATTTGTATACATCATTTTCACATTTATAACTTAGAGTTATTGACAAGAATTGGTTGTGGGGTTAACATATGCTTTATTGTATGTTCCAATTATAGTACTACATAGCGATAGAATGTTAACTTGAAACAAAAATGTTGTTTTGCGCTGTTATTCTTTAGACAACTAATTAGTAGTATTATTAATCAGTCTAGAGCGATATTATTATACTTACATTTCTGTATATTTATTGTTCTTTAGTGTGATATTATTTGATAATCGGTTGATGATTCAGTTAACTAACATTACCAACTAATGCTGTAATATCAAGAAAGTGTATATATATTACGAGTCAAGTTGATTTTTAAGTTGAGTTAAACTTGACTCAAGTCAAAATGATTCCAGCAGAATTTTAGGGTTAGTGCGGACCGAAATTATGTTGATGCCGGCTGGTTTTTTAATTGATTAAATTGACCTGGGTCAAGTTTAACCCAATTTAAAAACCAAATTGACTCGTAACATATATACGTATATACCAGTATGTGTATATATTCATGGTAGAGATGAAAACCTAATACTACACTTAATAAAGGTTTAATAATTGCTATTACTGTTAATTTTTGAGTTCCGGTTTTACTTAGTTATACATGTGTTTAGTATTTAATATGGTTTATATTATAGTAATATAGTCGCCAGAACCGAATGCTTGTATAGATATAGCTGTTAAATTCGAAAGATTTATTATCTTACTAGACTAGAGCTACCTGCTACTACAAAGTCGCAACTTGCAATTTACAGCTTATTTATGTTGTAATTATTACAAAATAAGTCATCATTTACTAGATTAAGATGGTTACGTCTATTGTGACAATAAGTTGCAATCCTAGTTGTGCTATAAAAAAGTCGCAATTCATATTTGCAACAAGCAACACTATACTGGACATGTAATATGTATATGGTTGTTTAGTTTTAAGGTTTGGGTTAGGGTTAGGGTTAGGGTTGAATCACATTACTTTGTATTATATCACGTGATGCATCAGTTATATAAATTATATGAGTATTGATCATTTGTATTTATTTGATTACGTAAGGGTGCATCATGGTGCAGGTGCACTAAAAAAAAAAATCCTTATTAAATATTACAAGTTAAAGAATATATTTATATTGAATGTTTGATAAAACTAATTATACACCCGGCCTTGTTAGGCCTGGAATTTAGATTCTGATAAGCTAATTTATATAGAAGATTAATTTCATATTTAAGTCTAATGTTTATAACCCTGCAATCGTTTTTTGTGATATTAGGGAGTTACCCCATCTTGCTTAGGTATACTAGCACCAAATTTCATAGATTGTTATTATATGAAACCAAGTGGTGGCTTCTCTTTTTTTTGTTTTTTTATGTTGGTTGCTTGAAAGATTTCTTCGAGTATATTAGGTATGTGATCATTTTCTGCTTCTTTAAGCGATCTATATGTAGTTTTTCAGATAATTTTGCTAAGTGGATATTTTAAAGCAAAATGCTCTATTGTTTGAATTACATAAGGGCAGTTCGAGGAGTCCCCTAAGTTGTTCTGATCAATATGTACTAGGCGATAACCTAGTGGAAGTGCTCTATGATTTAGCCTCCAGAAGATATCTTTCTTCTTGTTTAGCACCCATTTTGTTTTAACTATTTGTAAGGTATATAGCTTTCAATCTGCTTTTCTAAGTTATCACGAGATTGTTCAGTGGGTTTATACCAACTTTGTAAAACTTTTTTAACTATGAATTGTTGTCCTTCTATGTTATTTATTTTGATTTGCTT